CCTCAATGCATGCTCTGGACCTGTGTTAGGTCGCCAGCAACTCGCTACTCGGCGCCGCGCGTTTACATACCTCGGTGTTTTCTCTGGCGTCAGCAAAAGTGGAGGGTCCAGCCCACGTCCTGATGTTTATCGGCGTCATCCTGGACACCCGCCGCGCTAACATCAGTATGCCTATGGACGAACTTGCCGAGCTTCGTGATCTCCTTGGGGCCACTCTTCACACAGCTTCAACTACCCAATGTCAACTCGAGTCTCTTCTGGGAAAGCTCCCGTTTGCTACAAGAGTGATAGCCCCTGGATGCAAATTGCAGATTGTGGTCACTTGCCAACTGGTACCGGCAGCCGTGTTACCTGATCAAGCTCTCCAAAGAGTGCCTCAAAGATCTTCGCTGATGGCCTGAGCTCCTGGATTAGCGGAACGGTCGGTCCTTCTTCCTATACCCTAAATGGACGCCGTCCCCCGACTTGCTGGTATTCACTGATGCAAGTGGTGCACTTGGCCGGTGCTCGTACAATTGCGACCGGGGATAGGGCGATGGACAGTCAATCAAGCAGAGCAGCAATCGCAAAAGGTTGTTTGCAATTGTGGCAGCCCGCAGCACCTGCGAAAACTAGCGGCATCAGCTGCGAATGCCAATTGATGGGCATTTACAGCAACTGCGAGGATATTGCTCATCAGTTGTGGCTTTGGCCTGGCGTTGTACACCGGCCACTCGTTTCGAATCAGCTGCGGGACTCGATATTCAGAGAGGCGGGAAGGTGGAAAGCGATGTCTGCCCGAGTAACATTCGGACGCCACCTGCAGCCAAAGTATGGGTGGCTGCGGCAATGGCCTCAGCCCATGATATCAAGTTCTGACAGTCTTTACCTAGCTTGCACCGCTTACAGATTGCACGGGTAGCTGCACTTTGTGATCCGCTCCGGGAGTGCCGATTTATGGAATATATGCTCTCAACTGGTTATGCATACCAATATATTTAGCATTTGGAGGCTCTACTCAGAGTCATTGGCGGCTCCATGCAGTCATTGGCGGCTCCATGCGGAGTCATTGGCGGCTCCATGCGGAGTCAATTTGGGGCTCCATGCGGGGTCATTCGGCGGCTCCATGCGGGGTCATTCGGCGGCTCCATGCAGAGTCATTCGGCGGCTCCATGCGAAGTCATTCGGTGGCTCCATGCGGAGTCATTTGCCGGCTCCAAGCAGAGTCATTTGCCGGCTCAGCTGCGAGCCATCTAGTGGCTCCAAGCAGAGCCATCATACCAGTTGCTCGAATCGGCACTCCCAGCTTAATCCAAAACTCGGTTGCTCTGTTGTGAGGTGGGGGGATGCTAACCTAGGAATGGGTTTGCTCCCCACACTGGAGCTAGCGCTATTCCGTCGACTTGACACTTGACGGACTCACGACTGCCATCCAGAGTCGCCACCACTATTTCTAAACCATACGGCTAATTATTTTAGTTAGCTATCCACTTACCGGTACAGTAAAACCTGTGACTACCGACCACCCCTTGGTGCCAGCAAAAGCGGTCTTTAGTAGCAGGTGGTCTTTAGTTAGAGGTTTGCACCGCGTGACCATATGTGGATCCCATTATATGATATGTATGTCAAAATGCAGCCAATACGATTCCCCAGGACTTGCGCAATGTCAGAAAGACGGAGAGATGGAGAGAGAGAGAGAGAGAGAGAGAGAGAGAGAGAGAGAGAAGATTAATTTTTTGCAGACTTCAAATTCAGCTGCTACTTCTGAAGCCAGGAGTCAAACGTTCCCTGGGGAAGTTTCGTTTCGCGCTGGGCTTCAAATTTGTTCATGCGATCAATCATACCGACTGTCCTTGTTGTGACTTCTGGATTGCTTGAACGCGATCCTTCAGCATCAGGACCTTGTGGTGCTGCTTTGTTTCTGGATTCCTTGATGCCATCGTCAATCCGTCTGTATGACTGGTGTGACAGAGCCGCCCAGTCTTCGTTTCTCCTCCGAGTAGTAACATCGATCAGAGAGCGCTTTCGATGCGCTCTCCAAGACGTTTCCTATCATGTTTTTTCTTGACAGCGCTTGAAATTTTGACAGGTGTAGTGCAGTCCACACTGACTCCACAGCCAAAATTACCTGCATTCATTTGTTCAGCTGTAGTATCGAAAGATTCTTTTCAGGACCATGGAAAATCAGTAAAATTTCAAGAAGGAGCTTCGAGCAACATTTGATTTCCTACATCGCGGTCGCTAGTTACGGGTCAAAAATTGTGTTTGGGACAGGAAAAGGCGGTCGCTGGTCGCGTTCAGAAGGTAGTCGCTAGTCACAGTGCATTTTGAAAGTGAGACCTTCCGTGCCTGGCGAAGTGGTTGGTAGTACCAGGCTGGTCGCTAGTGACAGTGGTCTTTAGTTACAGGTTTTACTGTATATCCCTTACCGAAATTGTATTCTTGAACGCAATATTCTTCTTTCTTTTTCTTCTACTCCGTTCCATCAGCACTCGGCCGATGGCAGGAGATTGGTACCCACTGGGCTAGCATGCAGCAGCCAAAGCTGGGGCCTTTTCTTACTCCGTCAAACCCACTTCTTAAAACGAAACTGACGTGCATATTCACATTGCATGTTGTGAATGTCCCCATATTTGCCCCGACATCTTAGCTCGTACAGCGCTCCAGATACATCTATGCTACGGTGCGCACCGCATACTCGAATTACGGTACGGGACACATACGGGATACTGCACCAACCATGGCATGCCACGTGAACCACCCTACCAGACACCGTGACACGCATCGAATTACAGCGGTGTGGATACTGGCTAGCGCCAGATGCTACTAAAGTACAACTGAATAGCGTCTTTTGCATAGCTACGGGAATAATCTCATACCCCAAGTATTGCAGCTCTGCTAATACTGAAGTAGAATAATTCAGGTTACTCCCACTCCATTTCTCTAGTGCTTATTTTTCTGAAAAAATATCATCTTTGGCACCAGAATGCTGCCACCAAGAGTACATTAACCAGAGTGTGCAGCCCAAAGAGAATCATCCCACGGCAAAGTTTATTGTTTAGGGCATAGACTCGCAGTAACAGGCTCACCTTTGCTGCATCTCACACCGCTTCACACGGTCATCTACTCTATCACCATGGTAATTTCTGTTGCACATTGCTGCTTGTTTAACAAAAACGTAGAAAACACACCGAATTTCCAGGTAATTACCATGGTGATACGGTACTTTAGCTTGAACCTATTGTATGACGGGTTTTCTATGATTGATAATGACCCAGAGAGAAACTAAACCGGTATCGAATTCCAGTCAGCGACGCAATTCTTCTGAGGTGTAAAGTGACTTCAGGAATATGTTGCAGAAAACTGCGATGCATGCTGATTATTTACTGTGCCCTATTGTGCACAATATACCAGGTGTGTTACTCAGGGATGAAGTAGATGCACACACGTGCCGGGCATCACGGCACAGGTTAGGTTTGCTACTAGCCGCTGCAGTGTACTTGTGGTCCGAACTTGCACTCTACTCAACTCTGCATACGCAAAGAGTGCTGGTGCCGAAATGAACCAGAAGGGTGCTGAGTGGGACGCAACAACACTGACTCTGTCTACCCATGTACACAGATATGATAGGGTATGCAGTACCTGCTCTAAGATTTAACACAAACCGGGTACACGTCTACCTGGCACAATTCCTGCAACACTGGGCCAGAGCCAGATGCGTTCAAGTGCGGCTACTGTGTGTCAGGGAGTCGTAAACTTACTTTCGACTTCCTGATGTACATGATTGTACATGTACATGTATGAACGTACTCGCACTGGGCACTCTGGCCGCACGCGTATGCAGCCTGTCAGTGGCGGTATACCCTCGAACGGTATAAAAAAGTATAGTACTCGACAGGACTTCCGACCGGGTCGCAGGTAACCCAGTGTTCTTTTTCCAAAAGGTCCAAGTACTCACAAACAGGGCCACTGACCCGGCTCTGGAGCAGACACTGGTAATCTAGGTCCAAGTTTGCTCGATTATGTTCTGACGCTTCATGTGCTTTCATAGCCAAGGTTTCTCACTTTCTTCGCAAGCTCTTTTAGTCTTGAGAGTTGACAACTGCTTATGGTTGTGTTGGCAGAAAACATGTCAGCTAATCTGACAACCGTCCAACCCCATTTTACTGGTAAGTAGTCAGCGAGTGGCTTTGATGGGGCCATACAGTACTAGAGGGGAAGTTACGCGGCATATTTGTGCTTCCTTTTTGAAAACACGTTCTCGCTCGAAGGGTTTCTAAACTTTATCCCTGCGCTCATTGATGGAGTTCATCGATGGAGTTGCCAGCGGCACTCTACAGAAGAACAATGTTGTCAAGTTTTTTTATGAAAAATTGTCAAACATTTTCAAATTGCTATAAGTTTGGTTAGGGCCGGGTTCCACTGCGGCTCCGCAGCTCCGCTGCTCCACGGTACTTGGCTGCATGCAGCAGAGCGGCGCGGTTCCAGTGACACTCGCCATTCACTTCACGGTACCGCGATCGTGCTCGACGTTTTTTTTATGACATTTAGCCTGCCTGCGCGCGCGTGAAATCCAAAAAAAATCCTCGTGTTCTGGCCTGTGCAACGAATTAAAATTCCCCCGAATAAAACAATTAAGTGCGGGAAACAATGCAAGCCGTGACCGCGGCTTGCATTTTTTTGTATCAAGCAGCGAAGCGAAAGCTGGTGATGAGCCGCGGCCTCGCTGGACCAGCTCGTAATGATGACGTTTCATGCCGTGGATGATGTGCGGCGGAGCGGCAGTGGAACCCAGCCCTTAGGCAAAGGAAATTTGTCATTAATTTGTTTATGCTGCATAGATGGAGAGCTGCACACTCTGGCTTATGGACTCTCGCCTACAGTGTAGTCGTACTGCTAGTGTACTGGCATTACAGAAGACACGAAAAACGAGAACATAATTATGGCGAGAAAGTAATTACTGGCTAAGAATTGCCCTAAGACTTACCGCTTCTCAGTGCTCCATACCAGGAAGTAGTACAATACCTACTCCCTGCTCCATACGAGTGTTTTCTCCTCATTCTCTGCATCCTTTACCCCAGGAGTCTCGTCCATTTAGCGGCTCAAATGCTTGAGCTCCGGATAGCGGAAAATAGCTCGTCGTCCATTAGCGGCTCTAATAGTACCTGGTCTGAAGTGTCGCAGTCTAGCACAACTATGATTTTTTCCAGGAGGGTAAGGGTTGCAAACCCAAAGAGACCCTAAGCTTCGTCTATCAAACAAAACAATTGCCCTAAAAAATGGAAGAGGAAAAGAGTGAGCAAGCTGGTCTTAGCGCGCTACTTTTCAAAAAATAGAAGCTGAAAGCCATCAAAGTCAAAGCATTCTGGCTAGCGCGTTTGTGTATGTCACGAGCGCTAGCGCGCTAGTCGCAGCAAACGCTCGCAGGCCAGAGTTAGCGCTATTTGGGCTGTTTGCCGCACGCGGCAGCTGGATGGATCACGTGATCCAAGCTGACAAATAAGGTCCGATGGTTCAGCTACATTGAGCCACAAGCTATGGAAATACCAAAGAGGGGAAGGCAAGTGAAACGAAAACGAGCAAAAAGCTACAGTCCCAACGGAACAAAGAATGTCGATTGTTACTGGACGATGACGAGACCAGTCCGATATTTGACAAAGCGGTCTAACTACAATCACGTGCTGCACCGCCTCGGCCGACGGCTTTTATCCAGGCGTGTAGAGCCTGTAGCGCATCTGAGGTCCCGAGGCGGCGACGAAACCCGAACTGGTGGGATGTCAGGAGTTTGTAACGCTCAAGGTGATTCATGAGCTGACGATTGATAACGCTCTCCATGATCTTAGAGAGTATGCTCAGCAGTGAAACTGGACGATAATTCCTCAGGGCGGATCGTGAAGATCGCTTGTGGATTGGAACCACGCTGGCAGTCTTCCACATGTGTGGCTGGACTCCGTGCTGGAAGCAAAGAGCAAAGAGCTGACACAGTGGCTTGGCAAGTTCTCTGGCGCATTCCTTCAAGACACGAGCGGTAATACCGTCGGGTCCAGTCGCCATCCAGGCCAGCTAAAAGCCGGTGGACTGCATCGGGGCGAAAGTGGACTGTCGTTAGTGCAGGTGCGTCAGCGAATGCCGTGTCCGGTAAGTCCGTCGTGGTAAGGTCGCGGCCTTGCACACTGCACTTGTGGGAAAAGAAACGTGCGAAAGCCTCCGATTTCTCGTAGATTGTGGCCCTCTCGCAACCTTCACTATCAACGAGCAGGGGAATGTCAGTGTTCCGACCCTCGCCACAAGCGCACTTTAGCTTCGTCCACCATTCCTTCTCCTTCAGGGACCCATTCGACAAGCTATGTCTGAGGCTGTTCTCTTTGGAAACTCTAGATCTAGTGAGGACTGCGATAGCATTGTTTACAGAACGGGTAAACTCATGTTTCAGTGCAAAATCGTGAGGGTGTTTCCTCCAAGTGCGCCAGCGTTTGTCCTTCTCCTTCATGGCGGCTGCACACTCAGGTGTCCACCATTTCGGATCCGTTGACTTCACTGTCAGTGTCTTGGACTTCACTGTCAGTGTCTTGGACGGAACGAACTGGGAAACGGCTTTCATGATTGTGGCAGTAACGTGCTCACACGAAGTTTCTGGGTTGGCAGTAATGACGGTTGACCAATCAACCTGGCGGAAAAAGGATCGGAAGCGGTTCCAGTCTGCTTTTTCATAGCGCCAGACAGTTCGTTGCACCGCCGGTTCATGGGTAGGAGGAACACCTGTGTAGTCCGAAAGAATTACAGCGTGGTCGGATCGACCAATAGGGAACATTATCTGCGTGGTCACTGGAGAGTTGAACGTGGACATCACCAGGTCGAGTGTGTTATCCCCGCGAGTAGGACTCTGAACGTGCTGCGTAAGAAAGTGGGCTGTGCATGTGTCTTCGAGGGCTTCCCCCGCAGGTGTGGTCTTCGAGCTATGGAGCCAATTGCGGTTATGCACGTTAAAATCACCGGCGTCGCCGGTGATTCGCCGCGAGTATGAGGTTGGCACGAAGTGCACGAGCAGAGGGAAGGATGTCATCAAGGTGGTTAATGAGCGTAAGGTCACTGGGCCCCGTCGAACCTGGCCTGTAAGCAGCGCCCAAGACTATCTTTTGTCCAGGGGACAATTGAATGGATAGCCAAATGAGTTCGTGCTGTGGAGAAAATAACTCATCAATGACCATGGCTGGGAGTGTAGATCTGATCCATACCGCCACTCCGCCACCGCGTGCTGCTCGATGCAGCCGGAAGGGAAGGTGGAGTCGGATGGTGGAATGGTTTCAGAGGAAAACTTTGTTTCCGTCACTACTGCTATGTCGGGGTTGTGCTGGTGCAGTGTGTGCTGGAACTCAGCTAGCTTGTTACCTAAGCTAAATGCATTGGTGCAAAGGAGTCTGAGTGAACATTTAACGGTATTGTGATGAATGGCAGAACTAGGCATGGGTGCAAAAATTGATGTGTATCAAAGCGGTAAGTTTCTGAAGTGACTTACTGCAGGACTTGTTGGCCACTCTCAGGAGATTTTCGTTTCCGTTTTTTCCGTTGCTTGGATCCAGTGGTGGTGGCACTCTGGTCCCGATCAGGTGTGACGCTATGGCGTGAACGCTTGGATCGGTTGACTTCCCACCGGCCAGAATCAGGATCATCGTCGCTATGGCCTCCCAGCTGTGGGCCTAGGGCTGTACATGCATCGCTGTCTGCCCTCTTGGCCTCTCTGTCGGAGTCGCAGGGCAAGTTAGACAGCTGCTAGTTCTCTGGCTTGGATAAGCCTTCATTGTCGACCAATGATTCAGTATCAGTAGAAAGAGGCAACTCTTCAGACTCAGAGGAGCTGGAGTCGCTCTTGTCAGCTGCTGGGAGATCAGCCTGCTTAGACTTGGATGTTGGGCATTGTGATTGGGCTTTACTTTGCTGCTCTGTCTGGGCTGGGTTTGCGACCACATCAGACAGGAGTCGACGTGTGCGTTCAGTGTCTGTGTATGTAGGTGACGTTGAATGCCGTGACTGCTGTGTACTACCGGTACTGGCAGTGGTACTACGGGCCTCAGGGCAGTCTTTGGCATTATTTTTAAGGATTTTCCAAAGGTTCTGGGCCTGTCGAGGGGATCTCCTGTAAGAAGAATGAAATGACAACTTTATGTAGAGGGAGCAGTTAATCGAGGATAGGCTAAGGGAATAGATCGAGGCATACAAAATCTGGTAATAAGGAGTTGGGATACCGTCAGTGTAATGAATATATCGGCGAAAATGCTGATAGAGAGAATACTTGAATTCGGGGAGGCTGGTTATAGAGGTAAGAGAAGGCGGTAGGCAATTCCATAGCATTGCAGCTTTGTTGGAAAAGAGGGAAGAAAAACGCACACCGTGATAATTGATGTACAGTTTGTTTGGTCTTTTTGGACTTGAAGACAGTGAAAGGTGAAAATGTTGGAGGTGTTCTGGAGATATATAATGTATAAGTTTAAATAGAGCAACAAGAGCTGATGTTATAAAGCGGCTTTACCAGGGCATGTTTGAATGGCTTCCGTAGGCGACCGGAATGCAAGGAGGCATTGAAGAGGCATAAACACTTTTCTCTTGCAACAATATGCTTTTCATACTGCGGGAATCCCTCTTCCTTAACCTCTATAATAAAACTAATTTTTATGATTTTGCACTCATTACCACAATACTGTTATATTTCCCAATCCGTTGCTCCCAACAATGGCAACTTTGTCCGGTATACCCTATCCTTGGTCATGTACATACAATTATCCCTTCACTGTGCATAGTTCGAATCTGCCGAATCCGATTGTATTTTTGAGCTTAGAGAAAAGCCGAATACCGTATTATCTCTAATATAAGCATGGTCCTTTATTTTTCAATGTACCTCCGCCCCGTGCTATTAATGGAGACGTTCCTTTATTGGAGACTGTACCATTATTATTTCAACCTCATTTCAGAGGCATGTTGCCATGCCAAATTCATGTCAGACACACACATTTCAGGTTTTTTTCACCGGTACAGATAATTAATTTACACAGTGTGCTTATAATGGAGACTGAGCACTTTATTATTTGAACGCCGCCCCAAGGTGTTCTATTATTGGAGACGTGCTATTATTGGAGACTGTGCTTATATTAGAGATAATACGGTAGGCGAAAAACCCCGGCCTCATTTGGTGAAAGCCTACTCCGGATGGCAGTCGTGAGTAAGTCAAGTGTCAAGTTTGTTACCAAGAGTAGGGGGGGGGGGGTATGTACTCTTGATGTAACGGTAGATACCATTGAGATCCGACCAAGCACAAAGCAGCATCAGCTGCAATCGCGACACACAACAGCTGCGACTATAATCACTTGTACAAGTATTGGTACAGAAAAATCATGAAATCGACACAGGGATAGGAATGAACACAGAAACACAATGCAATGTTTGCGGAATTCCAAAACAGAATTTCAACACAGAATTTGAACATACTGTTACGGTACGGGGTGGGGATGCTCAGACAAAGGCATACACTGACACTGAGACATCAGGACCTAAATCCTAATCCAGATCAGCATGCAATGTGTCGCACTGGATTCGTCTTGAGCGGCAGCAATCCAGATGTCTCCGACATGTGCGGGACCAGGAGCAGACCCCAAGGCCATGTACGCTTGGTGGGGGCAATTAGGGGGGCTAAAATAAGCACACAAAAATTTAGTAGTGAAGCAATCACAAGCTAGGGGGCAGCACTAAATATGAAGTGGAGCACCCGGCGCTCGTACCATTCATCTATGGGATCGCTGCACAGATGGTTATAGGCATAACTGTACTGAGAGGGTATGCCCGGCCATCGGTAGCAAGGAAAGTATCAGAACGAGACGCGTCACTGAATCCGATCCAGGCAAGATCACGTTGTTGCCATTGCACGATCTCAGGTATTAGGCACAAGGCCCTCTCTCGGACATCCTTCTTTTCTTCGCATTTATCTATGTTGGACTTATGAAGCAATAGCATCAGCTTACGCATGCAATCTTTTAGGCGTGGACCTGGCACTTCCAAAGCTCTCTCATGGCACGCGTCCTGGAATTGGGTCCAATTCCGACCGCTCTTATCGCCATTGCCCACATGGTAGAGTACCTGGCCACCATCGCATGTGTGTACTGGGCAATAACAGAATATCCGATTGCAATCACGCACACACGCACATGCACACATGGAGAGAGAGAGAGAGAGAGAGAGAGAGAGAGAGAGAGAGAGAGAGAGAGAGAGAGAGAGAGAGAGAGAGAGAGAGAGAGAGAGAGAGAGAGAGAGAGAGAGAGAGAGAGAGAGAGAGAGAGAGAGAGAGAGAGAGAGAGAGAGAGAGAGAGAGAGAAAGAGAGAGAGACTTGTCATGGGGAGTTGTGACTGTTTGACTGGTCACGGGGACGTGATTGGTCATCGGGCATTGGTTGGTTCGTTTGTTTATTTGCACAATAGCACAATAGACGGGAACTAGGACCAATGATATGAAGTCGAATGGATAAGCCGAATTTAGGAAAAAGGACGAGAATTAGAAAAGTACGAAAGAAAACGTATCTTAAATTGTGCACTCATAACAACAGCAAAAATGAAGAAAGTCAAGTTCCATAACGTTTTCTTGTGACTGTCATCAGTGGAACGCCGTCACATAAAAATGTAATAACTAAAACACACACTTATATACTTGACTTTCTTCATTTTTGCTGTTGTTATGAGTGCACAATTTATCTTATTTATTGCCATTTTACGACTATTGTCTCCTCGTCGATTGTTTGAAAACGTATCTGACATTGATTGGTCACAGAGCCCTACTTCGGAGCACATGCGAACTCTCTGCTTCCACAAGAAGCGCTGAAACATGTTTGAGGCAGCACTGAGCATGCTGCTATGTCATGAATGCCGTGCGAAGCTTGAACAAAAAGGACAACGACTCATTCCAAGTCTGTTCAATTTCCTATAGCTAACATGTTTTACTCTGCAAACATGATTTATCATATGGACTTCAAAGTACGCACGACTTTTCTCAGGCAGTTGTGCTGCGCCACAGTGTTTTCTATCTCCGCTCCTTTATTCGTTGTTTTTGGCATCATTAGACATGGTTAGCATTTTACCGTTCATGCTATTTTCGGCGGTAGGCCTGCGCCGCTTTTTGTGTGTGTAGTCATGGCATTTTACAGTTCACGCGCTAGATCCAACGGTACTCGTACCCCAAACCCAAAATACCGTCGGTTTGGTACCGTTTCGACGATAGAAAGCTCTTTTTAGCGGGAGAACGAAACGGTAAGATTCTAACTAGGGTTACCTCACACGTCTATCGTTACGTCAGGAGTCAGGACTCAGAAGCCGAACTGATAACTGTGTCTCGAAAACACATCAAAAACAGACTCGCCCTCTACACGCCGACCGTCGAAATAGCGTGAACGGTAAAATGCTAACCATGTCTATTAGAGAGGTTTCGACCCGCGTAATGGTGCTCTTACGTGAATGTCAATTTTTTGCGTTGACGCGAGCTCAGAAAGAGCTTTCGTTTCACGTTGCTTGTGATGTGAAGCACGTCGTTTCGCTGACGACAGGAGCGAAAACTTCAAAAAGTGAAAAAAGTGATTTTGGTGAGCTTAGAATTGGAATGTAGGTTGAAGTTTTGTTTCAGTAGGGGTTGACAAGTGTTGTGATGCCGCGGCGATGATGGATCAACACCAACAAGCTGTTTTTGTTGCTGCCGTGGGACTAGGTGGCCGAGCTCTGGCCCAATCCGCTTCAAGACATCATGGCATGTCTTGAAGCGGATTGGGCCAGAGCTAATTGAACCACTTGAACTTGAAGCAGCTCCAGGGGACTCCTGATTTGAGGCAGAAGATACCGTAACGTCGTGGATAAAAGCCGGGCTTATAAGCGCATAAGCCGCTTTCTGCATCAGGCTTGTATTTTTTTATTTTTTTATTTTATTTTTTTACTAGAGCCACGCAAACCCGTCATGTGTGAGCCATGAATAAGGGGAGTGGTGGCGTGGTCTGGGATGCTCTGCCGACCTTGGGTCTCGGCTTCATCACAACCAGGCGCGCCAATAGCAGAGAGAGAAAGATGCAAACCATGCTTATATGCACCACTGATATTTTGCCAGGCTTGTATGCACATCGGTCGATCCGGGCTTGCATAGAAGCCAGGCTTACTGGTATACGCGCGACACGCGTAGATCTACAACTGACTACCGGTATGGCGGCAGTTTTACTATGCACTGTAGCGCATGCACTCTTGACCTACCCGGTCCGCGCTTGCATAGAAGCCAGGCTTCTACGTGCGACAGGCTTACCGTATATGCATTTGACCCGTTTGATTTTCAGGCTTCTATCCGCGATGTGCTTGTATGCAAACCCGGCTTTTATCCGCGACTTTACGGTACTGGACTCACACTGGCAGACATCGCGATGGAATGAGCTACGCTGAAACTAAGACGTGCAATTCGCTAACTTCTAGTAACTAATTACTTCCTCCTGTATCAGAAAGAAGAGAGGCCAAGCCAAGTGACTTTCCTTTCCTTTCGATCTACGGCATGCATGCAGTCAAGATTCCCGCCAAAAGGCCAAAGTCGCACTGATATTATTTATAGCTAGTTTAGGCAAAATCGACAAAATCGAGTCAATAATCCCAACCTGTTAGCAAGGCTAAATTTGCAAAAACTCGCGTTCACGTCGAACGCGAGTTGACCTCAGGCTGTCCTCAGCCCACGTCATGAACGGGAAAATTTGCCACACCGACGTGAAATTTCACAGTGTAGTGCAGAACAGAACGACGTGAAACGAAACCTCTCTATTATGCACAAGAACTCGCTCACATTGAGTTGCGATATTAGCAACCTTTGGGCTTCTTCTGAAAATGTGGTTGCGATTTCAGCAACTTTCACTTGTTTTGGCATGGTTGCGAAAAGCGTAAGTTGCGAAATCTGTTGGCATCTTTGGGAAGGGGCTACCCAGAGTGCGAAACGCTACTATGCACACTACCAAGAGTAGATAAACAAGAGTGTGCAACTCGCGGATGGATAGGCCCACGGCGGAATTTTTTGTTGACGTAATCTTTTCGACGACGCACGCGCTGGAAGTCTTTCAGAAAGTTTTCCCTCGTGCTCTTGGCTGGCTTTACACTACAAGGTGCCCAGCACGTGCTCTCACACTGCTCTGCGGCAAAATGCACGTTCTTCTGAAAAAAGGTGACGTCAACAAAAATTCCGCCGTGGGCGGGGGTATCTGCAGATTGTGCAGGAGAGATCCGGAGTTGCACACTCTTGTTTATCTACTCTTGACACTACCAATAGCCTATAAGCAGTTATGTAAAGAAATACTGGATTCTAGAATACCGACACCAGAAAGAATATTCGAATCCAGGCCGTACCATTCAAATTACTCGAAAATTCGTGCTGTATCGTTGTATTATGAAGAGTTCATAACCCGCCACGGCCACAGTGTGCGACGCCTGATACAGCTCCGCGTAGGGTCTTTTGGTCGAGCGTATACGCGCAGTCGGATCTTCTGATGTCGTGTGTACTGTAGCGGCCTGACTCCCGACTATTACGTCACACTAGGGTCCGGCGGATTTTGCCGGCAGAAAAATTGGCAGAATTCGGTACTTTTTCTGGTAAGTTTCATGCATATTTGGTATGTGGATGAAGAAATGGAGCAGAATTCGAGGAATTGCCCGCCATAAGGTTTGTATGGTTCTGCCAATTTTACTGCTTTTCGAGCAGAATCTGCCACCTTTTCGAGCAGAATGCGCCGGTCCCTACGTCACACGAATAAGCATGCGCGTCGTAACGTCTTTGGCCTCAACTTCTTTGTTGTCCGCCATTGTAGCCGTCGTCTAGGGCCCGACGTAAAACCCCTAAACTGGTGACCCTTAGTGTCTTGAACAAAACGCCCATGGATGAAGCCTGATCCGCCAAACAATCTCCGTTACATGCAAGGCAAATACAGGAAATACCTCCGGACACGGATGGCTGAAGAAATTGACCAGTTCACGACTCAGCTCTCCTCCATGGTAGAAGTAAATGGGTCACCCCCCCCCCCCCCCTCCCCTTCACCTCCGTCTCTCATACAATGCATGATGCCTCCAATTTGTGCCATGGTTTCTTCGGAATTGTTGTGCCTCGCAATCATGATGAAGCAATTCCACCCCCAGCACATGCGCTCTCTGACCGGCCTGATCCCACCAGCAACATGACTTCAAGTTGTGGAATGATACTGACAGACACCTTCCTCCGTACAGTGCTGTTTCGACCACTGAAGTCTCACCAGCGAAGGCTGCGAATAATGAATGGCTAGAATTAATTAGAATGAACTTGAAAGCACAGTGTTATGCAAAGAATGAAATGAAGAAGCGCAATCACAGCCACATCACATAAAACAGTAACATGGTAAACTATCAGAACTCACTTTCTAGCACATCTTTCTCTAACTGGATATCCGCACGATTGACCGTGTATTCTGCATGACAAGACGAAACGCGGACAGATATGCACCTACTTAATCTAGGTAATGCAAACAGATCCAAGTTCCCTGATACTCGTACTCCTGCCCCTAAGTCTACGCAATGCTCACCTTGCCGACTGTGTGGTGCTACCTGCGTCCCGCTAAAAATATCTTACTGGATGAGTTCATTCTGGATAGCTGTCTTAGGGGGCGTTCGTTTTTCATCTACATGTTTTGGTAGAAACTACTTCTTTCGCTAGAAGTGTTCGTTTTTGTTACTCATAAGGGTAGATTCTCCTTTCCTCAACCGGCTCTACCAGGCAAGTTGGTAGAATCCGGAAGAAGTTGGTTGCCGAGCTGCGGGATTTCCATCAAGATCAAGGATTTGTACACAACTCCATACAGAAGAGAAACATTTCACGTACATATCGTGTAAACTACTAAAACCGTCACTACTTGTACTGATATCTATAAGAAAGAAAAAGGACCAAGGAACTACAAGTTACGCTATAATGTTCACATTGGGTCGATTGTTATTAGCAAGAGTATGTACTCTTGTTATTAGGCGTATGCCTGTTTTGATTTCCACTACAAGTAAAGTATACAACACAAACAAATCGCCAACGCTTTGTACGCCAAAGCAGCCTGCAGTTGTTGCTGTTGGTCAATGTGGATTGCCGCAAGTCATGAGGCATGGCGGGTGATAGGTATTATTATTTCAGGCCCTTAAGTGTTTTTTTCGAGGCCTTCTTCACGCCTACTCTGAGTTTCACGATCTGGTGCCCTTTACCTGATGACTCAGCGGCACAAGCATGATACTCAGAATGGCGACAAACTATATTGTAGCCTTGCCCTCGTTGTTCTGTGTATTCGCTCCTCTCAAATGAAGCGGAATTACACTCGCCAGACCATTTTTGCATGAAATAAAATCCTGTACTTTTCCTCAGGCTGTAAACACTGCACTGTAACCACTTCATCTCTCAACCAATCTCATACATCACCACCCAAAACGTCTTCTGGCCACAAATATTCCAAAAATATTGAACAGTAAATTTAATGTTTATTCCACATTTTCAGGTGAGGCTCATCTTCAGGAAGATGAAACCGAACGCTGCACATTCAACTCTTGTTGTCCCTTCCGAGTGTTATTCGCATGCAGCAAAACCAACCAACCAAACAGCTAAGAAAATAAAAACTTCTGAAACGCGGAAGAGGAGTGGACCATTCAACACAACTAAGATGAAACCGAGGGAATAGAACCAGGGAATAGCACCAGACAATCTCTCTCTCTCTCTCTCTCTCTCTCTCTCTCTCTCTCTCTCTTTCTCTCTTTCTCTCTCTCTCTCTCTCTCTCTCTCTCCGAATCTCTCTCCGAGTTTCTGTACCACATCTGTAACACCAGGCAACTCGCCATCTCACTACTTTCTGTTTCCTTTCATCACACCGTTATACTTGCTAATGTCCGTTCTTCTGTTCCACTTAATGTTTTGTAATTGGTGCTTGGTCCCACCGCTGATCTCGATACCCATTGTGTGTGTTGGGGGGGGGGGGGGGGGGGGGAGACGCTGCTCCGGCTTCCCGCTGTATTGTCATGTCTCCCCTTTGGTTCTGTCTTCCCATTCCGTTCTCTGCTGGACTGTGTATTTCAGTAAAAAAAAGCACCTTCTATATGCGGACGCTCCACTGCAGCCAATTTAAAATAAATACAATATTCTTCGGATGGAGAGCCAAGGTTTAATTTATACAAAAGAGAAAGACCAAGGATTTACAAGTTATGCTATACTGTCCACTAACACCACCAGTTACTAAACAATCAGCTCATGCATAAGGAGGGGTTTGACCGTATTGTCCAATGGTCCTGCCAGTATCGTCATCGACATGCATGAACATCCGCCAACGTCCTTCACAGCTGAGACTTTCAGCTCGTGCTTATCTTGGTTGCGCTCACCTTCCCCTCCTTATGTTATTTCTATAACTTAGAACCTTCCAAGTTGGAAGGCTGTTGGAGTGCGCATCCAAGATGTGCTAGAGCTGTTAGCCAGTTAGTTGTAGAACGTCAGTACCGTCGGTCAGTGTAGTGCAGTGTTATCGCATGAGCTGGTTGTTTAGTAACTGGTGGTGTTAGTGGACAGTATAGCGTAACTTGTAGTTCCTTAGTCTTTCTCTTTCGTGTAAAATATTCTTCATTTAATAATATTCGTCCACCAAAATTATTACCTAGGTGTCTGACTTCGTAAAATGTAATCACTGGTACCAAGAGTCACTAATGCGCTCTTGCTGGTACAATACATGTGAAGGTACCGACATTCAACTGTACAGTGGGCACTATCAACGTAATGACTCGAAAGTATCCATGTAAAATTGACCACACCACAAAGCTTACCAAAGTCGTTGGGAACACAAAGAAAACCATTCCTCGAGTCACTTGCAACGTCACGAGTAGGCCAGTTGTGAGGTGATGCTGTAGAGGTGAAAGTCACCACCGAAGTGTCTGTAGCCCAGGAAGATAGGCCCTTTTGGGTGATGCACCTCTGTGCACTGGTTGTAAATAGCACTTTGATGAAGGCTTCATTCACAAGCTTCATGCCTGCATTTCGGCAGGCGTAGTCCGCTTCAATAAACTTGACTGGCGTGGCACTGTACGCAAAGCTAACACCGGCGCAGCTCAACCGGTCTGAAAGCATAAGCAAGTATAGGAAAACAGACGCAAAAAATCATGACGCTACCCTCGCTACCTCCCATAGCAGAGGCCAGACATCCAGCAGTCTCTCTCTCTTCCCCTGTTTTTGTTCTAGCAAGTCCTGTATAGCCTCTGCAGGAATGGAGCCTGTGCAGGGGGCATAGGGGCACGTGAAAAAAGTGTTCCGGTTTTTTGTGTCATATCGCCTGGCTGAACCTGCTTGTGCCAGGCCTCTCCTAAATTTCATGGTGCTGGCCACTTTGCATGCATTTCGCCGTAACCACTTACGGTTGTTCCTTGCGCACCCTGTGAAAAGGCCATAGGCTTGTTGGGTATACCCAAGTAACAAATACATGTACAAGTTTCTAGGCATTGGCGGATAATGCTCGAAAAGGTGGCAGATTCTACTCGAAAAGCAGTGAAATTGGTGGAACCATACAAACCTTATGGCGAGCAATTCCTCGAATTCTACTTTACTTCTTTATCCACATACCAAACCTGCATGAAACTTACCAGAAAAAGTACCTAATTCTGCAAATGTTTCTGCTGGCATTATCCGCATATGCCTAAGAGTTTCGCGGAACTAGGCCTCCAGAAGAAGAGAGTTTGGCCAGCTCTTTGGTTGTTTTTTGGTTGTTTTTTATTTCACTTCGCACATTCAAACGGGATGACGACACAATAAAATGACGGCGAAGGCTTAGCCTAGAAGTGGCTATGGACGAACATAGTAAAAGCTATGGAAGCACATAGTAAGGCAATAGGATACTAATAACTGCGAGTAAACGGGGGGGGGGGAGAGAGAGAGAGAATACGATGTATCTGTGATACTACGTGAGGATTACTGAACTGCACGGGGAGGGAGAGCAGAGCGATCAGCAGCAACTCGAACTACTCCCTACAGGCGTATGGTACACATGCATGCTTAAACTCAGGTAGCCGGGTAATTGTGCGGACCTCACCAGGGAGAGCGTTCCACAGCAGAGCACCAGCAACAGAAAATCTCCGCTGACCGCGGGGCCGGCGGCTACGGTTTGCCTGGCTTAGTACTAGTAGGCCATTTGACTGCTGATGGCGGGTAGGGGTGATGTGCCGGGGTCAGAAGCTGGGCTAGCACAGGGCTGGTGCGGGCGTGGATGCACCGCCAGATGGTGATCAATATTTTCTGCCTGTAGAGCTCGCTGACACGGTACAGGGAGTGAGCAGTGGCTGCATGGCTGTCCGGGGGGGCGGGTTGCCATCGATACAGCGGATGGCTCTGTTTTGTGCGGTTTGCAGTCGTTTCAGTTGACCCTCTCGCATTGCGGCTGAAAAGCAGCAGGAGCCATAAAGCAGGTCGGGCATTATGACCGCCTTCACATACACCTGACGAGGGCGTCTTGATAGGCTTCGGCGTGCCCGACACTCTTCAATGCCAATTGCTGATAGTGATGTCGGTACTGTGCGAAGACCCTTTCATGATACCGGATCACAAGAGATTACTGAATACTGCAGTTTCCCCTCGTGCCACCTGTCAATTCCAGGCTGACCACGCACTTCGGGAATTGGAATTGTTAATTTTTCATGGTACTGTACCAGACCACCCGAAAAAACTATTTTCAACTTTGTGAACCGGCCTGTTCAGCGCCACTTTTTGCTCTTGTATACTTTTTGGAATCGAAACAGGCAGAGGTCTTAAGAAAAGTGGACCCACTGAATGACATTGTGGTACTTCGAAGTAGCTATCTATTTGGTGCAGCTGAGAGCCTGTTGCCGGAATGGCGGTATTTTCAAGTGGAGGAAGTAGTTCCTGAATAATCTGTAATGCAAGCTTTGTAATAACTGTCCTGCAGAAAATGCCCCATTGACCGCCTGATGCCTGAACACCAAATTTCCAAATTTTCGCTTTGTTTTGCAACCCTCAAGCCAAATAACGCGAGCAAAACTTTCACGCGACAACAAAAATAACGTGCAGCTGAACCTTTCTACTGTCTCCATAAAGCTCGTTTAAAGTTCATTCCTACCTTGTGGACAGCGGTCGTTTGCAGAGTTATCTGGAGCGTCCTACAAGTTGACACGTGTATTCAAAAGCGTGGACCGTAAAGATTCGTTCGCTGTGTCTTGATGTTTTGAAACCATTGACAATCCCTCCACTGTCTTGCCTTTCTCCATAAAGTAGGTACCGGTATCTTTTATGTCGAGTAGTTCAGATCCCATTTCACACTTTTTTCTACTTGCGTCAATTTGATTGTTTTGAATGCCTTGACCCTCCCTCCCCTGTCCGGATTTTCTCCATAAAGTAGCGATCTTTGTGTCGATTTTTGTCCATCACTCTTCCCTCTTTTCCATCTCTATAACATTCATACCAGCTGACCATTTAAGTTTCCAACTGTCTTTTTTTGTTGATTCAGACCTTGAGATTTCCTAACTTTCAAAGTTCCAATTATCGAGCCTTTCAAAATCATGTTTCAGAATGTGCCTTCCGACAAATCTACAAGCAACTTTTGAATCTTTCATACAACTTCACGGGTAAAGATGGTCCAAATTGCACATTGCATGGCGTGTCGCATAGGGGAAGTTCGGCCAAATGCTCAGCTGCTGCGATCAGCCAGTTGGGCCGATTGCATGAACCTCACGATGAGAATGTTACGTTTTGCGGCCATACCATCGAGCATCGCAGGTAAAATTCCCATTCATCTCTCCGTATTCAATTGGTTTTCTCTCTCCCGGTCCACTCGTACTAGTCTCTCACTTCCCCGTGCTAATTCAGCCGCATTTACCAACTCTCCTCTGTTTTTGTCCTGCAGCCTTTGGCTGCAACTTCCCCAGCATGTTAAGACATCAAAATGTCTTTCCAGCTTTAAAAATGCACTCCGATCGCATAATGTAGTACGATAGGATCTCATTGCTGGATTCTTGTCTATCCTTCTTTCTTCTCTTTTTCTATATTCCTTTCTTTTCTTTTCTTGCCGTGGTTGGCTATCACCCCTCTCTCGCACTTTGCGTGCCAATTGGTCATGAACCACGAGTTGAGTGAAATAAATAAATAAATCACATCGCAATAGAAAGCTTCTGTGACTGTCCCTTTACAATCAGGTGAGTGTCCTGCCAGGCGCGCAAACTTTTTTTCAACACTCCCTGGAGAACAATCAAAAGAGTGTTCGAGGAGACAAAAAGATTACAATTATACGCAGTAAGCAGGGCGAGTTGAATATTCAACACACACACACACACACACACACACACACACACACACACACACACACACACACACACACACACACACACACCATTAGCTACGGTAAAGTATCGTAAGTGTCGCACGTTTTCGCTGCAATCTCATCACAAGGATTGTACTGGCAAAGACAAATGATTCGAAATGAACGCGTAACGGCCGGAAATGTCATCATTAACTGAACCGCATTGGAGCCCGGGACTAACAGAACATAGATACTCAAAATGCAGATGGTGGATAATCATGAGAATTCAGGCATTGGCCAGTGACCCAGGTGGACTGATCCTTACCGAATGCTTTGCACGTTGGAAGTCGTGTGGCTAAATATTTATATAATAATCCGCCACCCCCAATCTGGTGCACTTTTTTGACTGTCACCGCTTCGTTCAGATACGCAGCAAAGCACGACTGACTAATTGGGCAGTACTCATAATACCCCTTGTCACATCGGAACCTATACTCTCTTGAAATGCGCGTGTCACCTATGTACTCATCCACCGTGAAGTGTGATGCTGATGGTGACGTAATATTGTAAGCAGGATCATAATCTGAAAATCCTGAAATCACACAGAAAACACAAAGTGGTCAGGCATTCCCAAGGATACATAAAGAGAAAAAGTCTGCAGATAAGTTGAAGAGCGGGGAGATTTAGAAAATGGGTGCCAGAGTGATGCAAAATTATAGAGGAGGGATGACGGCAACTCTGAGAAACATTGAGTTGAAAAAGTGGGTTAGCAAAGACGAAACTGGTAAAAGACAAGATGAAAATAAAGCAAAGTAAAGAATCTGAAGACGTGATAAATCCGCCCTAGTCGCGGCAAGTTAATGACGTCATCATGATGTCACCAAATTTAGTGCAAACTTCAAGCTGGTATAACTCGGGGGCGGCCGCTCCGATCAACCTGGGACCTTCATCATTGGAATCAGATCAGCCCGATCGTTTTGTTCAAAATTGCACGGCTCTTTAAGGTGGCAGACTACCCAAAAATTCGCTGAAAAATCGAATTTGTAAATTCATATTGAGTGCTACGTCAGTTGAAAGAGCATGAATAGCTGCAAATTCTCTGAAAATTGTGTCCCGATCTGACCGGCCGTTCAAGAGTTATGGCCGAAAATGTGCCCTTGCAAGGAAAGATTTTTTTTGTTGCACGCTGTCATTTGTTGGCAGCACTGTATTTGAATGTGAGCAGACCGTGCGCAACTTGTCGTATCATGGAAACACGTGAAAGTGTGCAGTCCAAAAAATCAGGTTTTTGAGCCACGTATTGGTCTGTACGGCGGCGGGCTTCGCAGGACTTTTGCCAGCACCCTCGTGACGTTGCAGATATGTGGCTTGATTATTGTAGTTGACGTTGATTTAGTGACTTTGGCAAGTTTGAGTCGTGTCAAGAAGGCAGGTAGGATTCAGTACTAGGCAGTAGTGAAACGTGAGTGGTAGTCTTTGCCGGTTTCTGAGGGTATCCTGGATTTGGTGTGCAGCGCTGTGGAAATGGCTTGCTGTGGAGGTCCCAGCACTGGATGTTGTATCAAAGGTACGACCTCGTAGCACGTGCTAAACCTAACAAAATTCAAAAATTGACTTGGGTCTGTGGGAGTGTGTGAGAGAATGCCCACTCGTTCCGTTGTGACAGATTCCAGGGCCTCGTTGAGGGGCCCTACCCCATCACCCATGGCTGCTTCTGGACTTGTTCTTGGTTTGAGTGCCGCGCACGAACAGAATGAGCACGAAAATGTGAAAAAATTGTAAATGCATTTGTTTGGCTCCTGGGTGGCTCGCACACCGTGGCACTATGCCGGAAATTTGAGTTTTTTCGGCCTGGAAAGCCTGTCAGTGAGGCGCAAGAACTTGTAAATCATGTCCTGAGGGCCAGCATAGTGGCAGAAGTGTGTGGTCAAAATTTCACTCAAATCCACTGAGAAACACCCAAAGTTACGGTCAATTGAATGCCATCTGAAATTTATGGGTAGGCTGCCCCCTTAAACGAACCAGGTCCCATACATTCGTGGCAAATCGGATTGTGTACATGTATGTACATACATGTATATGTGCATGCTTGTAGTCGCCAGGTGTCTGGCATAGAATACTGTCGTGTGGGTAAAGCTGGCTACATGTACCGTAAAAAAAAATTTAAAAAAAATTATCGTGTCCGTTCCCGAAGGGAACTCACGACGGCCGCTAGCACATGTACCGTAAAGTCCCGTAAAGTCTTGTATGAAAGCCGCGGCTTCTATGACTTTCTTGGTGAAATTTTGCAGGCTTCTATATGAGACAGGCTTCTATACAAAATAGGTATTTCTATGTATGTCAACACTAAAACCAGGCTTTTGTGTGATTTAATGGGCCCAAAATTGCGGCTTCTATTCAATTGCGGCTTTTATACAAGACTTTACGGTACCTGTTTGGACACATGCAGCAGGTATATGACTAGTCGTATGCATTGATACACCGACCAGTAGAGCGCGGCCATGTACCTGGGGCACACCGCAGGGCCCCGTGCTTGGACCTACATTGTTACCGAGTTACCGTAGTGACTACCAGTGTAATTTCAATTTGGTGTAGTCATGGACAATGGCCTTTCATGGGACTCAGTGGAATCTCGGGCCAGGGTAGGGGCACGTATAGTCCCTAGTGAATGGCCTACGTGCGGTGTCGCTTGTCCTTCGCTTTCAGCGCCTCAGGGCAGCAATAATGTGCATTCGCGGTGCACGTTCCGCATACCATCACCCAGTTAATGCGATGAGGGAGTTGGCCATTGCGGAGAGCGGCTTCTAAGCATGTGAGTAGTAGCACCAAGAGTACTCTTATGCACTCTTGGTAGCATCAAGGCTGCTCGAGTGGCTTCTGCATGTTGATCTGGTAGCGGAGTGCCACCACTGACACAGGATTTTTTTTTGCAGGTATTGCATTTTGAATTGGTTGAGTACGAGGTGATTTGGCTTTTTAAACATGGTTGTAAAATCACGTTTTTCAGCCACTTCTAGGCAAGCTACGTGCAAATAAATTGTTGCAAGTGGAAGTGCTATTCTTCATGCCCGTTGTCTCAAAAACGGGAATGATCCCACTTTGGAGGAATGCTACGAGTCGTAGTGGATGAAAAATAATCTGTCAACTGCATTGTATGCTGCCGCAAAGCCGTGTTTTTGTATTTGTAACTAGTGGCTGTGTCATACGGTAGAATTGGATAGGTAGCATAGCGTCGCAGCCATGTTTTCGTTCTCACAGAGTGTATTCCGTGACCTACTGTTCTTCATTGTTGTCTTTAGTGATGGCAAGACGGCCTGACGTCGTCCAAAGGCCCTGCGGAAGCAATTCACTGCCCTCCTCGTCCATTCAAGGGTTTATTTTACACATTTTACACAAAATGGCAAAGCACCCACCACTAGTTATACCGACGTGGCAGGGAGAATTAAATTATATGCACCAAATTTTCTGGTCAATGTTGATCTACGATAAACTGGCTCTCATTTGTCACCACCCATGTTTCTATACAGCCTTCCGGAGCAGAGAAACAGCCAGAAGAACAGCAAATTTTACACATTTGTTAAAAAAATGCCAAATGTTAAAAAAAGCCAAATCACTTCGTAGATAGTTCCGTGTTCGATATTGGATTCTCTTTACAATTTTTTTAATTCTATTCGTGTTCGATATTGATTTTTTTACAAATTTGATATTCTATTTCCTATTTTTTCATTGGTGTTGGGTTTAACTATTCACTGGACTGAATACTACTTGTACATGATGACGGTTGTGCTTCGCTTCTTGTGCTTTGCTTCTCATTGTATCTCGTTATCGTTATATTTTCCTCCAGCCCTCTCGCTTAGGATGAGCTTTCTTTTTTATGGCAGCTTAAGCGAAGGCTATATACCTGCTTTATGCAGATTGATGCCAACGCGAACAAGCAAAATAATAACAATAATAGGAAGAAAGGAATACTATTGAAATAGTACATATAAAAAAGAGAAGAAACACATGAGAACAAGTTATGCAGCAACTATCCACGACTGTAACAAGATGATAAACGGTCAGAAAGTGCGATAATAGGGCACACAACTGACAGGCTACTGAGACATCCAGCGACCCGAGCCCTAGCTCTAACACATCTCCAGTGCAGTCGTGGATAGTTGCTGCATAACTCGTTCTCATGTGCTTTTTCTCTTTTTACATTTTATTACTGGCTCGGTATCTGAGTTTAAATAGTACATACTTCAAATTACTCTAGAAAAACAGTATCTCTTACTTGCTGTTTCACAGTAGTAGCTTCCCTCGGTGTTGTAGCATTCTAACAGGGAACGCGCATTTGGAAAGTCTTTGCTGCATATTTCATCATCACCACACTCATTATCATCTGAAGACAAGAGAAAGCAATAATCACAGCCAAGGATGATTCACAATACACTGTACAATGTTTTGACAAGCGACGCGGTGGTAGCAGTGCTGCGAGCGCGACACACGTGCAACGTTCACAATCTTGTTGGTGTTTGCGACCAGGAAGTTGTACCCGTATTCGAAGTTGAAAGCATGTTACATAACAAGGCTGAGGATGGACAGTGCTCCTGACTACAATGCACAACAAAAAGTCTTGGTGCCTAGACCCAAAAATATAATTTCAACATCAGCCCAATCTTACATCAGGTTTGCATAGTTGATTTGGCTTTTTTGTAAAATCACGTTTTTTCAGCCACTTCTAGGCAAGCTGCGTCCAAATGAATTGTTGCAAGTGGAAGTGCTATCCTTCATGCCCGATGTCTCAAAAAATGGGAATGATCCCACTTTGGAAAGTGTCTTGAATCATGTCCTACTTTCATAGTATTCTCAGGGTTCAAATAATTGGTGTGTATTTTTTTAACAAATTTGTAAAATGGCATCACAAACTGGGATATTCGGTCATCAATGTTCTGAAGCTGATAGATATCACTTCGAAGAATGCTAGTGGATGAAAATTAATCTGTCAACTGCATTGTATGCTGCCGCAATGCCGTGTTTTTGTATTTGTAACTAGTGGCTATGTCATACGGTAGAATTGGATAGGTAGCATAGCATCCCCGGCAGCCTTGTTTTCGTTCTCACAGAGTGTATTCCGTGACCTACTGTTCTTCATTGTTGTCTTTAGTGATGGCAAGACGGCCTGATGTCGTCCAAAAGCCCTGCGGAAGCAATTCACTGCCCTCCTCGTCCATTCAAGGGCTTATTTTACACATTTTACACAAAATGGCAAAGCACCCACCACTAGTTTTACCGACGTGGCAGGGAGAATTAAATTATATGCACCAATGTTGATCTACGATAAACTGGCTCTCATTTGTCACCGCCCATGTTTCGATCCAGCCATCCGGAGCAGAGAAAAAGCCAGAAGAAAAGCAAAGTTTACACATTTGTTCAAAAATGCCAAATGTTAAAAAAGCCAAATCACTTCGTGCAGCCTTATATTTTCGCATCAGTTCCTCCTTTTTCTTATAATTATCACGATCTTCATCATTTTGCGAGAACTGTGGCAATACATGTATGTGAAGAGAGGTACTGAATGACCTCTTCGCCGCGAGAGTCGAATCCAGTGGCGTTGGTGGTGGGGATCACCCTTTCCATTTTTCAGGAACTCGATCGATCGACCAGTACGCAGAATGCGAGGATGCGTCGTGGGTGACGGATTACTCTCCCACGGATTACTCTCGACGACACGTCGGCAGGAGAACCAAGCTATCCAAACACCGCCGACGTCAAATCCAATCCTTCGGTGCTCGGAATACTACGTATAACCTTTTTGAGATGACTCCAAACTTATTAACTTAGAAGTTGCGACTTCGGCGGTATTAGTCATGAAGTTGGTTGCTCCAACGAGGAGCACACGCTTCTTGCTGAACTAACTTGACGGTGGTTGTCGCGCTGGAAAAAAGCGTCTCTGTAAGTTTGTATCCCTGCCCTGGTGATGGTTTGGCCTGGAGAGCAGTATATAAGTGGTGCTTTTCAGGCACAATCTTCCTCAGCCTACTCAAGCTCAACTGATGAGGGGTGAATTCCCCGAAACACTGTGTATTGAGCAGGGAGTGGTGCTTTCTTTCAGGTTTGCCGAGTGGAAGGTGCGACGTGCTCCTCGTGTGCTCTGGATGGCAGTAGTGTCAAGTTAGTTCGGCAAGAAGTTGGAGCAACCAACTTCACATCCAAATTTTTTTTCAGAAAAATCCGGAAATCCAATATGGCGCTAACTGTCGCGAACCACGCTAATGCACTACCCACTATCATACGATCCCAGAATACCTTGCCTGCTTTTCGCGCTAGCTGCTTATTTCACCTTGGGCACATAGACCTGTTGGGTATACTCAAGTAAAATAATAAATACTACTACTGGATTTATTAATAAGCTAAACATCACATTCTACAACATCAAGATTCAAGAGTACATAACCCCCCAGAGTGTGCAACTCGACTATGGATATATGGGTGCTGTCCCGACAGAATTTCAAGTTGACGTCATTCTCATGATGCAATGCGCACTGTACACGGATTATCAGACGAATCCGGAACCTGTGGTTGACCGAAGCCCATCGATCCTGTACAAAGTATTGCAAAGAAAAACGTGTGATGCGTTGACACCCGTACACATGTTGTAAATCACTGGTGCAAGGAGCATTGCGTCATAAATAATGACGTCAACTTGAAATTCTGTCGGGACAGCAGGATATGTGGGAGTTGCACACTCTGGGGGTTATGTACTCTTGATAACATCCAAGGCATTTATAGTTTGCCGTGATGTTTAGCTTGTTTTCGTCTTGAGTGCGCCCACCTTTCTCATTTTATTTCATATTAAACTTAGAACCTTGCAAGTTGGAAGGCTGTTGATTGGCGCATCCAAGACGTGATAGAGCTTATTGTCAGGTCGGTGATTGTCAGTAACACATCAGTCAGTATTGTGCAAGCTGTTGCACCTTCTGACTACACAACGTCTTCAGTGCTTTTAAAAACTGTTAGCATTGGACACAAACTACGAATAACATGTAACATTTGTCCTTTCTTTTAAATTTTACCCCACTACTGGACGAATAGTTTTTATTCGAATTCAAATCAGAAACAGCAAGCATAAAAAAAAGAAGGCATAAAGCAACAGCAAATGAAGGTGTAAAGGCATAGTGGTGGCCTGCGGAAGCGAAGGCTGGTTTGTGTGTTTCTGAACATTCAAGTGATGCTAACGCGGATCCCACGAATATTATATTATTATTATTAAATGAAGGTACCTGCGGAAGAAACATCCAATTTCCGACAAGAGCAGTGTGAAAGCAAGTGCAGATTGGCGAAGTGCAGGTGAGCGAGTATGTGGGCGATGGTATGTTTTAAAGTGAGGAGTGTGAGTGCTGTAACGAATTCTTTTTGCACTTCTCCAATCTACATGTTCTTTCACACTGCTCGCTGGTAATGTAATCACACCTTCAATAGTGCTAGCTTTAGAATGTTAGTGCTTCGTGTATTAGTTTTAGATCTAATATTGTTCACTTTATGGTATCAAAAAATATCTTTCCTTTGTAGTTCAACTCTCAGGGCATGTTCGATTGGTAGGATCGGGATCCAGATCCACCGGATCCACTGGATTCACCCCCTTACGATTGGTCGAATCCGGATCCTTCTGAATGTTGTTGTTGGAGTCTGTGCTTCCTGCCCACTGACTGACACTTGACCGGCTCACGTCATGTGAACATACACACAACACTGAAACCGTGTGAGTGAGTAGAAGTCATTGCGTTGTAGCTACGTGTTGAATAGATAGGCACATCGATCGAACGACTTCTTGAATTATCTTAGTATTTCACGTTCGGCAATTTATTTGAATTTAGGAGTCGGCGACGTCTTCCATCAGCTTCCACAGGCGTCTGCTTTTCTCAAACTTTGATGTCGCCGAAGTCACACGGATCGATGGCTTTGCCAAGTCATGGCCTAGCTGCTGGAGAACGAGTCCATGTCGTGTCGTTCCCGTGACATGGTGAGAGTAAATTGCATGGCAGGGATGCAGCGCAAAGAAACTATTATTTTGGTCATAAAACAAATAAGGGACTCATGCCGCGATTCAACATTTACCACGGGTTTTGACTTGTCCCTTACGTCGGTACGAGCAAGAAGTTCTTTGTTGTAAACCAGACGTACATGTACCTGCGTGCGAGAGTTGTCATTTTCCATGCTTTTGCTCGGAATATTTCTTCGGGTTCACAGCGAGTTTTTAAGACAGCAAAATCCCCGGGCGATCGCCAGGATTGTCAATGTTTAGGTAATGGACTACATGTGAAGTAATGTCTTTTGTACAACTTCAGGAACAAAGCGCTGTAGAGCCTGGTTAGCGCCAGACGTTTACTAAGAACGTCTTTTGTACAGCTCTGGTAAATATACAACTTCGTTGTGGGCTGGTTAGCTATTGAAGAAAGTCATGGTCAACGCACTGCAGCTCTTTCAATCCAACATCTGGCTGAAAAACTTTGTTCTGTGTAACCTCTCTTTATAATATACTGGAAATAAAGTCAAAACAAGAACATACCTGGACATGGACATAAATCACATAATTGAATATCACTTACCTTTGCATTCGGTGTAGGGATCGTATGAGCCGCTAACGCTAAGAGGTCTAAAGTAACCCGGACCGCAGGGAGTGTCACCTAAAGTAAAGAAGAAGAACATGTAACAGTATCGGTCAGCACCAGTAATGCACAGCATCAAGACTGAAGAGTGTACAAAAAATAGTGTGCAACTCTGTGGCTGGTCTGGTCCAGGGTAGATTGATTTTGTTCAGGTCACCTTTTTTTTTTCGGATCCCATGCTGCGTGACATTGAAGCTAACTGCAAACCTTGCACAAAGAATGTGGTGGGCATCGGTGTTTGCCACTTTCAAAACAAATTGTTTTATATCTTCTCCCCTCGCTTGCTGTAGCTTCAAAAGTCCTTCGATCATGCACGCAGTGCAAATTCAGTTCACGTGGCCACAGCCCACTGGCACACGGCATCATAAAGTTCGTATGCGTCGGCTATAAGGTTGGCAGTAGTGTCGAAACCATGAAGACGTAAAAAAATGTTTATGGCGTGGAGAAAGCAAATTTATAAATGCAATAAAGAATATAATAGATGCAGACATGGCCAGTTATGGCCCTCTTCAGACTAGGTACAAAACAGCCTATAAGTCACATTTACATAGAAGTTTCCAAGACAACAACAAGAATCTGGCTCGAAGCCTAAAAAGCTGCTCAATCCTTTCAGGCAGGATGCGAACCCTTGTACAAGGCAACTTTCCTGCATTAATTTTATCGTACTTTCTCATCAGGTAGTTGTACAAACGTACAGACTTTGAACCCGGGTACGACTGCCGGCTGCTTTCACACATCCCAGGTCCACTGCGCAATAGCGTGGGGGCAAAGGTTGCCTGTATATTGCATGTAAAATGTATTGTCTGAATGCAGGGTTGGACAATGTTGCCTTTTAGGTTTTATGTAATTTTGTACTGGATGTTCTATGTGCGTAGTCTGCAGAGGGCCTAAGGAATTTTAGAGAATGTTAACATTCTACTCCTCATGCTAGAGTATAGAGCAGACACACACACATGCAGAACGCGACACACCAAGAGAGAAAAGCGAGAGTTCAGAGTACAGCGTAATGGGAAGGTCGGGTAGAGTCGCTGGCCTCTATCAAGAGCACATAACCCCCCCCCCCCCCCCCCCCAGAGTGTGCAACTCCCACATACCCTGTTGTCCCGACAGAATTTCAAGTTGACGTCATTATTTATGACGCAATGCTCCTTGCAGCAGTGATTTACAACATGTGTACAGGTGTCAACGCATCACACGTTTTTCTTTGCAATAATTTGTACAGGATCGATGGGCTTCGGTCAACCACAGGTTCCGGATTCGTCGGATAATCCGTGTACAGTGCGCATTGCATCATCAAAATGACGTCAACTTGAAATTCTGTCGGGACAGCACCCATAGTGGAGTTGCACACTCTGGGGGGTTATGTACTCTTGCCTCTATTGAGTGCGCGTAAACGAATCGTGTGGTCGGACTACTGAGGGCAGGAGCTGTACAGTATAGGTCAGCCTGCGGTGAGCAGGAGCGGTTTATGGCCCATGCGAGCTTAAACGTACAGTAAAGTCCGCTGCAAACGCCCACCCCAGTGGGTCAATACTATTTTCGTCTTTTTCAGGTAAATAGAGTTGTAGAAAACTGGCATGAAGGTCGAATGCGTACGAAAATGGCTGTAATGCCTACAAACTGCCTATGTCTTACCAGGAGGCTCTGCAAAAGCGGTCATCATTATCTTGCTGCAAAGAAAAACTTCTGTCGAGATATCCTTTCATTCGATAAATGAGTCGTCTTTGTGATAGTTCGCTCTCCATGTGGTAATGCCGTAGAATCCATCTGGTCTTCATGAAATCTCTGCAGGGCCACGATGTCGCGCTTTCAGAACGGGACGGTGATTGTTCTGACAAAGCGTCATTCAACGACTTGACTGGTCGCAGTAATGCAGTTGCAAGTCGAACAGGGTATGTCACAGAAGCTACACCTACAAAGTCACTGCCAACTTGCTAAAAACCCTCGAGAAAAACACTCGCCTTTGAGCGTTGTGTGATTTGGAAATGATGGCTTGAAACATCGTCAGAAGTGTTTTCGGTTCCTGCTTCGCTACCTTCGCTACCAAACCCCCGTTTGGATTTGCGAAATAAAACAACCATCATCATAAAATCACTTGAGAGGTTCTGCACAACGAAAGTTCGAACGAAGTTTCGCGACAGGCCTTGCGAAAGTGTGTACGAATTTTCGCACATTTTCGTAGTTTGCACGCGCCAAGTGCACGTACGACATGACCCAATCTCACGAAACTTCCTACGAAAGTTCATTTCGCGTTCCCTGCAAGTTTCGCGTCCAAAGTTGCGAAGGTTCGTGCGAAGTTTCTCACTTCGTGACGTAGAGCGAAAGTTCGTACACATTTTCGTTTTGCAGAACCTCTCTACTACGAGCTAGCTTGTGGCTAGTGCCCAAAGAGATTTCGAAACCAGGAAAGTGGACATAGTTTACCATCGCAAAGTGCTCTTCGCGCTACAATGTGAGCTGATATATGGATCGTCAGCATAATGGATCTGGCTTGACCCACAACCAGCTAAACCGCTTGCAGGTGGCCCAAAACCGCGCAGCAAGGGCGGTGTTCGGACGACCACGATTTACCAGGGCCAGTGACCTCTTTGAGAAGCTCTCTGTTTATCGCTACAGTGGACGAGGTATATCGCCAGAAACTGCTCGTGCTGGTATGGCGGTGCGTTCATAACCGTGCCAGTCCTGGTCTGCAGGCACTGTTTGTTCGCAACTGCGGAGCAACTCGCCTTCAGCGCAGGCCAATGCCGACCGGCATCTCGCGGTTGCCTGTTATGGAACCATATACCTGACACGGTGAGAGCCATGGGCAACATCCCAGCATTCCGCCGAGCTGCCATTCCCTACACAGTTGGTCATACCATGGTATTCAGTACCCACGAACTTTGCAAAGCCGATAATATGATAATCCACCAAATCCAGGATACCCTCAAAAATCGGCAAAGACTACCACTCACGTTCCACTACTGCCTAGTATACGCTGCATGCGCTATGTGCGGTTTGCTGTGTGCGCTGTAGCTGTATGTGTATGCTCTTCTCATAATACGCTGTAATTTTCACACTATAACTACCTGGTGGTTTTAGTGTTATTCATTCATTCATTGTTTAGTTAGTCGATGGAAGTGAAATATACTGTTGAGAATAAATAGTTGTCCTCGTGCCGTGTGGTCGTTCGTTCCTGACACTTTAGAGAACCAGAGGGTTCACAACAATTATACGACAAGTTGCGCACGGTCTGCTCAGATTCGAATACAGTGCTGCCAAGAAATGACAGCGTGCAACAAAAAATCTTTCCTTGCAAGGGCACATTTTCGGCCATAACTCTTGAACGGCTGGTCAGATCGAGGCAAAATTTTCAGAGATTTTGCAGCTGTATTTATGCTCTTTCAACTGATGTAGCACACGATATGAATTTACAAATTCGATTTTTCAGGGATTTTACGACCAGTCTGCCCCTTAAATAAGGAAGGGTTCTGAATGGATCTCATGTCTCGGGGTAGACTATTGAACAGATTCATTGAGCAAAGAAGTGGAGAGGAGGAATAGCGAGTGGTGGAAGCAACGGGAAGAGAAAAAGTCCTCAAATCTCTGGCACCATGTATGGGGAAGGGCGCAGTGGTAAGGTCATGGACCCCTTGCACTCAGAGGACCCAGTGAAGACGTCATATGTACACTTGCATGACTTCCTTTTTGGGTCAAACCCCCGCTGCTATAGGGAGCCGACCCGTTATAGGGGCCGGCCCGTTATAGGGACGGACCTGTTATAGGGACCCACATATAATCGATATACTCAGTAAGACTATGTATATATGAAGGGCTCCAATTCAAAACGAGATAAATACATTTTGTGGAAAGTTCAAGAACTCCGTAAAACCAGCCATCTGGGGGTGAAAACGAATTATTCCGTGACAAAAAACGCAAAAGCTCCGGTTTGGTCTTTTATATCACATTTTGAATTGGAGCCCTTCATATATACCCAATGCTGTAGACAGCAAGCTATATGTACATGTATAAGCAGAATTGATTGATGCCTTGAAACAAGCAGCCTAGACGTAGCCAAGCGAGAAAAGGAAACGAGCGCAAATGTTGCGAGAAGTCTGCATGCCTGAGCAATTCAGTAACAATGCTGGCACAATTGCAATATTAATGCATCTTTCTTTCATTCTTTCCGATTCTCTCTTTTCTTTCTCTCACTATTGTGTTGACGTCTGCTCTATGTGAGTTTGAACAGTCGTTGGGCAGTGGATCAACCTTCTTAAAATCATACCCTAACATATTTTGCAATAGAACAACAAGTTCAAATGTTAAAATGTCGTCCCATGGATACACTACAATCAAAATTCTTACCTGGTGGCTTGTAATTCGGGTTAGGTCTGAGGGGGATAAGCTCAAATGTCGAAGTAGCGCCGTGACAAGTAGCCAGCAAGGCCAATCCGATCTGTGGTGGAAAGGACGAGAAAAATAATAATAAGATATGTTTAACCTAAACTAAACTGATACTTGGAACAATAAAGCAGCAGTAAACAGTAAGCAGTAAACACAGGTATACAATACAAGCGTTTTCTTCTCTCTTGAGCTATAAAGAGTTAATTTTTATGTACGTTGCTATGGTAAACATGTCCATTTTGGTGAATAGGCCATAACTCTTGTTTTTTAGGGTTCATGTTCAGTGCACGTGCATAGTACGACTAGTGCATAAGGACTTCGCAAACATGAAAAATATTGTGGACCGTGTGTGGCTGTCGCAGCTCGTCGCAGGTGTCGCAAGTCGCATCACAAGAAGTTGTATTGTGAATCGGCCTCTAGCTCTACTGTCCATTTCTAAAACATTGACAATCAGGTTTTGGTCTTCAAAAGTATGGAGATAAGGGAAAATCGTGAAACAAAGTACATAAAAGGGCTATTTAGGGCATGGCAAATTGTTCTGTGAAGGTTTCGAAATAATTGGACCAGCCGTAACGGAGTCAAAGATTTAAAGAAAGTGGCTGCCCCAAACGACTTGTTGAATGTTGTTGTTGGAGTTCACGCTTCCTGCCGACTGACTGGCTCATGTTATGTGAACATACAAGCAACACTGAAACGGTGTGAGTGAGTAGAAGTCATTGCGCTGTAGCTACGTGTTGAATATACAGGCATATCGATCGACTTCAGTCAGCAAGTGCGACATCAGGGCACAAAACCGACATGGAGTACTGAGACATTCAACGACTTGACAAGTAGCAACACATCCACCAGCCGCAAACCAACAACCTTCCAACTTGGGAGGCTCAGGTACGGAAAGATCCAAAGAGGAGAAGGAAAGCGCAACGAAGATGGACACAAGCTAGCTCCCACGGCAAAAATGAATACCAAACGTTTTTTAACTTGGAAAATGAGCCAGTATTAAATGTAAAATAGAAGTAGAAACAACATGGGAACGAGTTATGAAGCAACTATCCACGACTGTAACAAGATAATAAGCAGTCAGAATGTGCGATAACAGGGCACAAAACTGACATGTTACTGAGTCATTCAACGACCTAAGACCTAGCTCTAACACATCTCCAGTGTGCAAACCAACAGCCTTCCAACTTGGAAGTTTCAGTCGTGGATAGTTGCTTCACAACTCGTTCCCATGTGTTTTCTTCTACTAAACCTTTTGATTTTATTTTGATTTGCCAGTAATCCTTCTGACGAGATGGCCTCAACTTTCAAGGAATATACCGGTACATGAAAACAAGATTTGCTTAAGGTGTTTGTACTGAGTGCGCAGCTCGCTCTATTATTGCGTTAAAAACGTTTTTTTTTGTCTACCTTTTTTCCCAGATTATAAGTTGCACCTTCATTTTCAGGTTTGAGCCATCTTGCTTTTTTTTGTATTCACTTCAGTAGTAAGTCATGCTCGACTGTAAGTCGCAACCCCTTTTCACCTTTGAATTTTAGCGTAAACAGTTGTGCAGGCATAAATATGCACAAAAGCTTGAACATTTTGAATTTCGATATAGGGCTTGAAAGTGATGACGTCAAAAACGGCCAGGGAGTAGTAAGTTGACATCAGATTTCTATTTTGGTGTGACTTTGCTATTGGAGACCCCTTGAAAAGGCGGGATCTTGGCCGAGCTCCTCCTCTATCCCTTGCATATCAGGAGACACGCGGACGAATAGCTGAGGGTGGGCCCTACACTGCCTCAGCAGAATGAGATCCATGGTGAGGTCGAACCTCAAATATTTGGTGCACTTTGAGTTGCCCTCTCCCTACGGGGAACTCACCATAGACGCAGATGCCGAGGCAACGCCAGCAGGGCTACTGGTAGCAGGAGGCATATCGGGGCTGGTAGTTGGTGACAAAGCCATGCCATGATTCCAGAATACTTGAGATGAAACAAAATGCACACTTGACTCAACTCTTCACAGTTCGAGAGAGAGGAAAGCGTCAAGAAGTCCGGTTCGCCTGTGCCTCGTGCACGTACAACTACTGCGCGTACATTAGTAGTAACTACAGTCCATTTCAAAACTATAGACGCGTACCTAGGCAAAAACCGTTATGCCAGCATCTATACCACATAAAATCTGTGCTCACTTTGTGCATAAATTTTTCCAAATTGGGCGTCTGTTATCCAATCCTTTAGAAACTATATGAGAGTAATTGTGGAGCGATCCTGAGCAATACTCCGAAAACTATTCTCAAAAAGGTCCAGCCAAATTTGAAATAATTTCAAAAACCCTACGCGTCTATAGTTTTGAAATGCACTGTAGTAGCTAGCTACATGCGCAAGTACGAGTACTCGTAGTGCGCCGTGTACTAGAGCACGCGCTGAGCATTCGAACAGTTTTTTTCTGTTCGGGGGCATTTTTCAGCCCTAGTTTTGACTGATTGAGTGCTTTTCGTGACGATTCTCGAATTTCACTCGAAAATTCGATTTGCTGATGCTCCGTAATTAAGCGACTTTTGAGCTTTTTCTGAAAATATAGATGCGATTTCAGAAACTTTCACATTTTTTTACTAAGTACAAAACCTCCCCTTTGTCGATTGATGGATCAATCGGTAGATTCGGCTCTGTTTTTCTTTCCTTTCTTTCTTGTTTTGAATTGTACGTTGAACTCATTGGATTTCTTTGTATTCTGTATCTCGTTATCGTTATATTTCCCTCTAGCCCTCTCGCTTAGGATGAGCTTTCTTTTTTATGGCAGCTTAAGCGAAGGCTATATACCTGCTTTATGCAGGTTGATGCCAACGCGAACAAGCAAAAAAAAAAAATAATAATAATAATAATAATAAGTACAAAACCTACTCTTTAGAAGGGGAGAAGACGACAGAGTATACAATAACAAAACAGCAGGGAGAGTAGGGACTGCCGCTGCACACATGTTTATGGTTGCAAAAAGCATACTGTAACTTGCGAAAAAATGCGGCGTCTTTGGGAAAGGGCTGGTGCTGGCCCTCGCCTTCTGGAATGCTGGTGAGGGCAAGTGTTGCTGCTCCAGGATCTCTTCCAAGGCAATGCAATGTTGGCTTGATGTATTTGTCCCGTGGCTCGTTTGTAGACTTACAAATCAAATGCTTTTTTGAGGCTATACTTTATGGGTTATCCCAGTTTCAAGGTTCCCTTCAGAACGATTTTCCAAGGAGTTTGCACACTCGATAAACAACCCAAAGGAAGCCGAGCTCCAAAATTTGAGTGAAATCGGAGAGATTGACATTGCACATTGCCTTGATTTCCCAGACAAACAAGATTATAAACCAAATACACCTTGTAAGGGGTCATCCATATTATTATCGATCTTTTACACGAAAAGAAAAAGTCTCGTTTATGGGTGGGTGGGTGTGCCAAATAGAGTTTCGTTTAAAAAAATATTGTTATGGAAGACATTAATTTTTAGAACTCAGATGTAGGCCTCGGCGGATAATGCCGGCAGAAAAATTGGCAGAATTCGGTACTTTTTCGGGTAAGTTTCATGCATGTTTGGTATGTGGATAAAGAAATGGAGCAGAATTCGAGGAATTGCCCGCCATAAGGTTTGTATGGTTCTGCCAATTTCACTGCTTTTCGAGCAGAATCTTCCACCTTTTCGAGCATTATCCGCCAAGGCCTACTCAGATGGTGAGCCAAGGAAAGTTATGTGAGACATCAATACATTCCAGCTGTCAAGCATCTATTTTTCGTTCAGGGTGGGTGGGGGGGGGGGGGTCCTAACTAAACTTTTTCGTTTCGTAAAAGTTATATAGATAATGGCGGTTGGCCACCCAAATCTGTACGCATTGGCAAAACTTAAACTTTGTACGGTTTTTACATAAGCCGATTGGGTGGTTGGTTGTTTTTTCATTTTATTTGGCACAATCAAACGGGATGACAACCCAATAAAAATTAATGATGGCGAAGGAGCCGGTGTCACTCACCAGTATAGCGAAGGCCATAGTGTAACGAGTTCTAGCAAAAACCTCCGCTGGAATACAGTGAATGACTGCTTGCGTTGTTATAACCTGTATGCGATTCCACAGCCATATCCCGCACCAGGCCGGCAGAAGAACAGAAACAAGAAAGCCAAAAGGCACTAGTTTGTCTCCCGTGGGCCAAGAGCTGCCCTAGAAGCAATCCAAGTCTCACTGACCAACAGAGCAATCGAAGCTGTTTACACGACGACTGCCAAACACAAAGTGAGGATAAGAATAAGACAAGGCCTGTGATAAAACCGCATGCGCAGCATAGAGTTGAGGTACGCGGTTGATCCGCCCCTCTCTGAGAATTATGTATTATTACTCGCTGCTGCTGCCATGCCCATGCATGCGCCCACTGTCGTCAGCGCAAAAGAAAACAGCCGTACCCGTACACATTAACAGCATCTAGCATGCGCATATATGCGCATGCTAGATGCTGTCCATATTATACACTGTTATAATGTTTTTTGATTGGACCAACTTCTATCCAAAAGAGTTGGCACCTATGAATTCAGGGGATGGCCGGCCCACGCCTGGTAAAAAGAAAAAGAAATAAAAAAGAATGTTTGGCACCTATGAATTCAGGGGTGGCCCACGCTGCGCGCTGCACGCCTGGTAAAAATAAAAATAAAAAAATAAAAAAATAAAGTTAGTTTTCTTTGTTATGATTTCTTTTTTTCTTTTTCTTTTTACCAGGCGTGCAGCGCGCAGCGTGGGCCATCCCCTGAATTCACATTCGACGCAACGCCGACGTACGGACGGTACGGGACGTAAGGGCTTGTCGGGAGGGCTGGGGTGAGCTGTAAAATCCTGTACGATTCGTACGACACGACATGCAGCAGTCGTTGCGACGTTCACCGTCGAACGGCGCGAGTCATAAGGCATGGTCCGTGACGGGGTGACTTTCGGACCTTAATTTTCTAGTTTTTCGGGACTTCGTTTCAATTATTTCTCCTTGAAAGAAGCGGAATCAAGTTCACAATACCAGTTTTTCATGAAGATCAAAAAATTAGCCCTGAAAGTTGTGGCATTTAAATAATTGCCCCAAGAAGTGATAGAATAGTTCGTCTGTCACGCTTCTGAACTACACACTGTATCCCTAAAAACAACAAGTGACATGAGATCTTATGTTGCTAAAATTCAACTCAAGTCGTGCTAGCCATTCTGTGAGTTATCATGGGAAGCGCAGTGTTAAAAATATCCAAGTACGAATCGGGAGTAGTCGGCGCGCGACGCCGTCTCCTGTTCACACTCGAATTGCAGCCGTTTTGTACGCTTGCGTCCCCGTCTACGCCCGTCTACGGTAAGCCTAGTTCACATTCGACGCAACGCCGACGGTACGGGACGTAAGGGCTTGTCGGGAGGCCGGGGGGTCGAGGGCTGGGGTACCGGGTGAGCTGTAAAATCCTGTACGATTCGTACGACACGACATGCAGCAGTCGTTGCGACGTTCAACGTCGAACGGCGCGAGTCATATAAGGGACCTTTCGCACCCCGCGTACGGATACGAAACGAATGCTGATTCGTCACCTGGGTTCGAGGATTCGTCAGAGTTCCTGCGGAGAACTCGTTTTCACGAATGGAATCGGAAGCCTCTTCATTCGTGGCACACTCCGAATCCGTCAGGTACACATTTATTTGGATAGGTACACATGTTTTGCAAGGTACACATTTTTCCCTTGATTCAATATTCCATGATCCATGCACGTGTGCGTGTAAAAACCCGTACGCCAAGCTACCGGCGCCCGCGGCCGTATTCGTAGTTGCCATGCACATTTGCATGACGACTTGCGAAACCTGAAATCTGTTTTCAACGAAACGATTACGAGCCGAATCAAACTTTCGTTTCGCATTCGTTTCGTAGCAAATGCGAAAGGTCCCTAAAAGGCATGGTCCGTGACGGGGTGACTTTCGGACCTAATTTCTAGTTTTTCGGGACTTCGTTTCAATTATTTCTCCTTGAAAGAAGCGGAATCAAGTTCACAATACCAGTGTTTCATGAAGATCAAAAAATTAGCCCTGAAAGTTGTGGCATTCAAATAATAGCCCCAGGAACTGATAGAATAGTTCGTCTGTCAGGCTTCTGAACTATCCCTTAAATACAATAAGTGACATGAGATCTTATGTTGCTAAAATTCAACTCAAGTCGTGCTAGCCATTCTGTGAGTTATCATGGGAAGCGTAGTGTTCGAAATGATAAAAATATCCAAGTACGAATCGGGAGTAGTCGGCGCACGACGCCGTCTCCTGGTCACACTCGAATTGCAGGCGTTTTGTACGCTTCCGTCCCCGTCTACGGTATGAAAAGTTGAATCGATTCAACTCTTCCCGTCGCTTCCCGATCTGTACGGTAGTACGGTTGCGTTCCCGTTCCTGGTGTTCACATTGGACGCCGTCAGACCGTCCCGTCGCTTCCCGTCGATCCTAACGTCGCTTCCCGTCGCGCCCCGTCGAATGTGAACTAGGCTGTATGAAAAGTTGGATCGATCCAACTCTTCCCGTCGCTTCCCGATCTGTACGGTAGTACGGTTGCGTTCCCGTTCCTGGTGTTCACATTGAACGCCGTCAGACCGTCCCGTCGCTTCCCGTCGATCCTTACGTCGTGTCCCGTCGCGCCCCGTCGAATGTGAACTAGGCTTAAGGGTGCGTTTCGTTGGTACGATCTACATGTAGAACAAGATCGAACAGCTGGTGCACATGGAGCAGCCTCATGCCAACCATGCCAAACGGTGCTCCAGAAACAGAGCACATTTTTGTGTAAAAAGTGCCAAACTTGGTGCATTCTTCAAAATGTGTATGGGTCACCATGGTCACTTTGTACGGTACAACGAGTCCAACCCAAAAGCGTATGCACGTGATCATTTGGGACCAAAATCAATGTTCCCACCAGGTTTCACTGTGAAAAAGTGAAACTGCTCGGTCTGCTCCGGCCTCAAGCAGAACATGTTCTGGCCGACCCAGAACAGGTGCAGTCCCAACCAAACGCGCTGTTCTGGTGAATCCTGTTCTAGGTCGTACCAATCAAACGCGCCCTAATACTAAAAAAATGCACTCTTGATACTAAGCGAAAACAATACAGCCGTATAACAGGAGGTGACTGTTATAATAGAGAGGTTCCGGGGTACGATTTTCCATGCCAAAATCCGTATGGGCGCTACGGATTTTTTCCAGGCGTGCTCCATACGATTTTTCGGCACGAGAATCCGTGTGGACTGGCTTTCATACGAACCATGCTTCGTATGGAGATTTTGCGTCATCGGGTGCAGAAAGATTTTTCGCGTACAAATTTGGTACGAGAAACATCGATTTTTCGCGGGAAGTTTTGATTTCGGTACAAATTTTCAAAATAAAAAGGCATAGCGCGGGAATGTGACGTGTTTGCGATCGTAACCTAGGCAATGACGGCAAACACATAAGTTCCGTACCCCGGAACTTTTCACTGCTCGAAAACGACGTATAAAAAATCCGTAGAGCCTCTGTGGCGTCTCCACTCAGTCACAGGACCCCGGCAATCAAATTTATTGTTTTCCACTGCTTTTCTCATTATATTTTATCATTGCCATTACCGGACAGCAGGACTCCAACAGTCGCCCGGGCTTTCCTGTTGCATTGGATTGCCCGATTTGGTGTCCCTGTCACTATCATCAGCGACCGCGGTGCCCAGTTTGAATCGTCCCTCTGGCAAGAGCTCATGCAGCTTCTTGGGTCCACTCGCCAGCGTACTACATCCTATCACCCGGCTACCAACGGCCTAGTGGAGCGTTTTCACCGCCACCTCAAGAGTGCCCTGATGGCGCGCTCCGGCACCCAAGCCCCATCTGAGTGGTTCAATGACCTGCCCTTCGTCCTGCTTGGTATCCGTACCTCTGTCAAGTCTGACCCCGAGTGTTCTGTGGCAGAAATGGTTTACGGCTCTTCCCTACGTCTTCCAGGCCAATTCCTGGATGCGGCACCTCCGACCGCTCCCATGTCACCGGCCACATTAAAGGGGAACTCCGGTCCAAAATCACCCCCATTTTTTATTGCGGAATCCATTAGAGTATGTCGTAAGTGGTAGAATGGCGAAAACCGGAAGCTTCTACGACAAGGATAACATACCTAAATTACCAATTGCAATTTTCCATATTTGGCACGAGGGGGCCCCTCCTACCCTGTGACGTAAAACGTTCTCAGCCCGGTCCACTCAGATGAAATTTTCAAAATAATTGAAGCAAGAATGAAAAGTCCTTGGCCATTGTTGAAGTGCTTGCTGTTCTGTGCCATGCCCGATTTATTGTCACGACTCGCTGCTGCGTCTCTGGATGCAACAATGTCACGAAGAAAGAGGTGCCTGCGGGCTGTCGTAGCATGGCTTTCCTCTGGCTGACGCGAACCTGACGACAGCTTGGCTATGGAGAGTATGTTGGAAGGATTTTTCTCCGACGAAAACTTAATCGTGTCTGCACTGAGCATTTCACTGAGATGTGCTATGAAAGAGATTTCCAACAAGAGTTTGCATAAAGCATTGGTGGCTATAAGCAGAAGCAGCAGCGACGCTTGAAGCCAGGGTCTCTGCCATCCTGAAAATTGGCGGTACATGTCATACCAAGAGTACATATGTACTCTTGGTCATACTAATAGTTAGTAGCTCCTCTACCTCTGCTGCCAGCAAAAGCAGACCATCTTCGATTTACTTCCAGGAACGTGAGCACGATGAGGTAAGTGAACGGCATGATTTTGTGCCGTCCAGAACGTAGCTCTAAACGACTACAGTCCTACTCAAAGTCCTCTACTCAAAATCCTAGTCAGTGAAGTCGAGAATTGATGTAATGTACATGGAACGTTATCATGTGTGTTATTTCGGTTCTCTTTATCTGTAAGTTTCCATTGCGTTACTTTCCGGTTGCAGCTACACTGCCACAAATACAAGGTACCGTATGATTTGTAGTCTGGAAATTTTCCATGCTGTCATACTGAAGTGGGCACCAAAACGTGTCCACTATTCGTACAATGGCATGAGAGCACGGGTACAGTCGGCATGTCTGTCCCACAATGCCAATATAGGGAGAGCGCACGCCAAAACCAAGGAGGGTGTGCTCAGGTACAGGCTGGAATACACCAAGAGCACAAAGTGGCCAAGAAGCTGCACGACAATGTCCTGCAACTTCTTGA